ATGATGATGATGATGTACAGTATGAATGAATGTTTTTAAAAATGGACAAGATAGAGAACCATTCTGGGTTTGGTTCCCAGGTCAAATGATTCGACCATCTGATCCGAACAAACGACCTGCTCTGATAGAAAAATTAAAAAAACAAAAATAAAAAATGGTCAAAAACTGTTGTCTGGATTGATAGTTCAATGAATTGACCACCTGAATAAACAGTTCATTGATCAAATCAATGGTTTTTAGCCAAAAAACGGTTTTGGAGTAAAACGGAACATTTTTTTTCCGATCTGACCATATGGTCTAATCCGGTTAATACGAATCACTTATCATACATATTGTATCAAATAAACATGTGGGATTCTGCCTTTACATGATGGATTTAACTGTAATGCCAACCAACCACTTAGGCTGCATAGTCATGGATTCTAACCTGATGGGCTGATACACAGTTATGACTTGTGAGGGAATGAAAAGGGTGATAGTGCCTTCACTCTGCCCACCAGCAATGTGTCCATCAATGCTTATTAAAAGGAAAATCAAACCAGACATCAACCAGAAAAGCTGCCCAAATTGTAGGTTGAATGGCTCAAAAAAGGTTCAATTGTTCAAACAGGTGAAATAATCAAAACCAAGAACCCGGCCCTACGGCCTGTACAAAATTCATTTTTGGATCTCAATTTTATGTCTCTGTGGCCTATCGATAATTAAAAAGAATAGAAAAGCTCCCCGGTCTACTAGTACATGATGATCCACTGAACCGGTTCAGCATTCTGCAAAAGAAAAGAAAAATGGGGGCCCTCCATCATTGAAAGCATTAGCCCTAGTTCAGGCTGTTGAGTAGATTCCAATCTAATGTCAGAAAAGTACAGCTCAAGTGAGGCCCTACATCCATCCATCCATGAGCGTGGGTCACCCCCAGCCAGCAACTCTTTTTCTATGAATGAGCTGGCCAAGAAAAGTAAGATTTGTAGATTAGACTTTTTTTAGAGCAGGCTAGAACGGAATGAGTGATTCGAGAGAGAAGGCGTGAAATGAGAGCAACTTCAACGCACTCCGCCGGGCGCATCGGGTTGCGAGCGGCGCCACCTCAGGCGCTGCTTGCCTGCTGCTGTGCTGTCTTCAAAAAGCACATCTGGGCTTGGATGCTTAACCCAAAAGCCAAGCAAAGATTATTACGATGTACATCTTGCTTTATAATTATCTTTACAATATATAATAATAATAATAATAATAATAATAATAATAATGATATCAGGATCCGTTTGATTGAGTCAGAATCGGAATTAGAATCGAAATTCTCTCAGAATCGTTTACTCATATAACAATGGAAATGGGAATTAGAAATCAGCAGGAATGAGATTTTATTCTCAA